AATAAGACTTCAAAACAAAACCTATCCAAATCAATGAGACCTAAACTACCAGAGAGAACTAACGAAGGTGCTGAGCGGGTGTGCTGGCCGTCACTGAACACTGCTCCACTGAGTCACCATGGTCACACCGCCTTACTGCCGTCCCACCCCTTCTGTGACTCCCAACTGCCCTGCAACCCTTGACTGCGCCTCTCCTAACTCGCCCCCCCCCAAACTTTCTACTCTGCCCTCTCATAGCTCTTTCCGTAACAGCAAACTTCCTTCTATTCTCAAATCCATCCATGAATTCTTCCACCACCAACTTCCTTACCTACTGTTTACCTGTTATACTCCCCTGACAAAGCAACCATCTGCTTTTCATTGTGGCTAAGTCCTAGGCACTAAAATCTGCTGGATGCAATCACACACATTTACAAGTTTGCATCGCCTATAAATTATGATGTTTAAACTCACCTTGGCCCCCCAAGGTTATATATTCTTTACCACCTCAATCTAGCCTTTTTTACTCTCCCCAAATCTTCAAATGCTTCATCTTATCACTATCAGCAAATTACCTCACCCTAAGATATCAAGAAAGATATTAAAATATCAGTGATACTTTATTGCACTCTCTGCCATCAAACAGATGAATGGACTGCACCGAAACACCGTTTCTCCATCCTTCCTGCTATTACAGTGAGAATAAGAACACCCTGCCCCTCTGTACAAATCCATCTCAGCTCCAGACTGCATCTGAAACCAAGCAGAACCCTGCCAGTCCCGTCCCAAGACAAGGTTCCCCCCTCACCCACTGCCTCTTGTTTGTAGAATAACTGAAATGTCCCAAGTCTCCCTGAGTCACAAAAGAGTAGGTTTAAGCAGCTGATGACTAGGACGACAGAGGCACAGGATCTTTCAGGGCCTGATGAACACTCCCGAGTGGTTTTACAGGTACTGTAACTGCTATCAGAGGGGAAAGCTAACCGCATGGTGACCCAACTGTAGTCAAGACACAGGCTGCTCCATCCTGAGCAATCCTGAATCCAGGACTAGCACAAGGATAAGACCTGGCCTTACAGAGAGGAGGATTAACACTATAAACTGTATGCGCATCTTTGTGGACATCAAAATAATTGCAGCTTATTCTGCCCATATACATAGCCAGGCAACTAAAACTATCAGCAAAGAGATGCTACAGGCTGTCAGCATCCTCCATGTTAAGAATACGGCACCCTATGTATCAGCGTTAAGAAGTTACAGAAAATGGACCTTTGTTCATGATCCCACAGAAATGGAATGATGTCTGAGAGGGGTGATGTGTAAGCAGCATTTTTACAGGTAGTTTATTGTAGCAAGTAGCTCTCTGCAAGGGACCACTCTTGTCACTTCAATAAAGCTATTTTACCTAACCTCTGGCCCAAGCACACATTTAAAACATTTTGAGTACATAATATTTTGCCGAACATGTTGGTACTTTTCAGATCAAAGAAGAAATGAAGAACAAGGAGATAACAGACTGCCAGATCTCTTTCCCAGCTTCCCCTTCAGTAATTGTACAAGCAAAAACTGAGTGAGAAGTGCATCTAAAGAAAGATGATGAGGCATCAGCAAGCCTGCCCACGTGGAGGACGGTGACGAGTCTGACCCTGACCTCCCCGCTTTTCCTTTAAAAACTTTCACGGCCTAGCAGAACCTTTGGGGTCAGTTCTGGACACCAGCCCACCTTCTCCCTGGACGGGCAGCCCACGTCACATGACTGTTGACTTGCTGAGTGGCAAGCACCCAAACCTGAGTTCAGGGATACTTCTACAGCATGGAAAGCCATACTAAAGATGGTAACAGGACCTCATCGTTTTCTCGCATCAACTACAGTAAACTAATTTAATTACGGCCAATTTATTCATCAATAAAACCAGGCATCCCTTTCCAGCCATGAAATTCTATGATATAATAAACCAAAAGAAAGGAAGACTTGGGACAAAAAAATTTTAAAAGGCAAAAATGAAGTAGGCAGGATATTCCGAATGTCTTAGATAATTTTTAAGTAGGTTACTAAGTATTTTATGCATGAGCAAAAAAGAAAGCTTTGAAACAGATATTACTTAAAAAGGTATTACATTAAGTAATTATCTGAATACTATAAAAGCTGTTAAGTAAGAAGGGATATAATATTAGAGCTAAAAACTCTGGCTATACGTAACAAATTGCAATTCTCAAAAGAGACCTAATAGAGGAAAATGTTTTCTCATCATGAGTAACATTCCAATCACTTATAAGCTTGGAAAAAAAAACTAGTGATTCTAATAATGTTATTTTATTATTAATAATAGGTTAAGTTTCCCTAACTCTTCATGTTGTTGTTTTTAGTTTAAAATGAGATGATTACTTTTTCATTTAATTAAATCATTAAAAGTTACATGCTAGGACTGAATAAACATGAATAGTTGAAAAAATAAGTTTTGCTTTTCTATGGTTTAAACTGAATTATAGGTAACTTGTCAATTAGTAATACCGTTTGATCAAAGACCTTGAAATTTAAGATGATAATGTTGGTACATAACCAAATCCAAAAGAGAAAATGTCATACTTTCTGTGGTGAATTCAATTTGAAAGAGAAATTCAGGCATTTAAAAGCTTAAATAATATGGAAAATGTGTCCTAAGATTTCGCATGTATATATCCAAATAGTTCTTTTTTTCTGCCCTCACTCACGTCCCTCAAACATCCATGAAAGTAAACCAATGATATGTAACTCTCTCTCTGTCTTATCTGTTATGTGGCTATTTTTGCTAATCCTTTCCAGGATACTCAGAACCATTTAACTCAGTAATGTACTATATTTCTGCAAACATAAAAACTCAGGTTTCAGAAATTAAAGACTTATTTGTTTACTTTTGGAATATGCAAAAGGAATTTTTTTCAAGTCAACAAAAAACATGGTTTCCACACAGGGAAAACACTGATCAAGTCCAGTGTCTGACTACTTACAAAAGGAGTCATCTAGTTGCTGCAAACTCCCTTTTGGGAAAAATGTGTAAATGGCTTCAAATATGTGGAGAACCCCATGAAAGACATATATTAAAATAAGCCAACATACAAAAAAGGTGATGATTTTTCAAGTAATATGACAACCCCATTAAAATGCAGCACACGGTTTTCTGCAAAAAGAAAACCTAAGACGAGATAGATGCTTTATGTAAAATATTTACATACACAATGCACAAAGCCCACTCCCGTTAGTAACCTGCACGGCTCTGAAGAACTAGGCATTTACATTTCTTTCCTCTGCGTGTGCCTGCGCGCGTGTGTGTTTTGTATATATTTTTAACAGTTGACAGCTGTTTTAGAGCATACAGAGATGCCAAGCTGAATGAGGGTCTTGATTACTTCAAGATTAGCTATCTAAAGTTTCTATTCATGCTAAGTGTTGTTAGTTGGAAGAGTCATTAGTCACTTCCTTGTCTCATAGAACATCAGCATACATTTACATTGTTAATGAACATTTGGGGTAAATGAATTAATGGCACTTTTAAACATCAATTCAGTCCTAATAACTTTGTATGTCATAGAAATGTTGGCTAGGATATAAACGAAAAGCCTTTTCAGTAAAGGTAACACCTTATTCCTGCAAACAATAAAGGATAAAATTAATTTAAAATGTTTTCTTACCAGTTTTTAAAAAACGAACCTCAACATTTAATGAACTAGTCCAGAGAAAAATATACACTTAAGAAAAAAAATGTTTATTCAAAAATAAGCATATAAACCAGAACATTTTGGTGAAAATATCTTATATATTGATAACACAAAAATATATTCACTTTTAAAATATGCACTTAAGGAAGTGACTGCAGAATAACCTGACTTATCTAATTAAGAGTACTTCTTAAGGTATGACATTTAAGAAAAAGAGCATCACTAGGGATGACTGTATCATTCTCACTAAATTCTCACTAAAATTCTTTAAATGCTGATATTAAACACTAACATTTTTTTCATACTATCAAAACCTTAAATAGCAGTCTAAATAAAAGCAAATATAAAAATAAAATCATGCAAACAAGCTGTACACTATTTTCATTAAAAACAAGGGCATTTGTATGATGTGGAATGTATTAAAGATGGACAAAAAAACATATACACACTCCATAAACTCAAGAGCTTGTGTACTAAAGAAATAGTTACATTGAGGAATCAACTTTTTCTAATTCCCAAAACATTACTTAATGCAGACCTTTACATCAATACAGGAAGAAAACAAACCTGTATTTGAAGTATATAAAACATATGTGAATGACTAATTATAATTTCTTAAAATAGATCTTACAATCCTGGTATATGTATGAGTGAAAAATTATAAGTAGTTACTTGAATCATGAATCAACTTCAGCAAATATTTAGTTGACATAAAGATAAAGCTTCAGGAATTGTCACAAACTTCCTGTTTTCTTATAATATACTATGTTATCATTAATATTGAGAAAATAATATAAAGCTCCAATACATACACATTTAATACATTTTTCTAGGGTAGACCCAAACATAGTTGATCTCTTAACAATTTCCATACATAGATATTTAAAAGAAAATCACAAATTTCAATTATTAAAAAAAAGAAGAATCAGGCAAGTCTTTTACCCTATATTAATCTCAACTTGCTGAAAGAAAGAAGAAAAAATCCCCACAAAAATGAACAACAAAAGTTTAGACTTCATTAAAAGATGTTTGACAAAGACCATTTTGTATTTCAAAATTCTTACGCTGAAGTAGTGAAGTGTTTAAGTTTATGATTACGTTTTTTTAAGAAGGACAGTGCATTAAAGATTGGCTATGGCTAATGTGTCTGTCTATAAACAAAAGTTGACAGTCAGTGTCAGAGTGCTCCATATCTATCCAGCAAAATGGTCTTCAAGTTCTTTTCAGCCTCATGTAGAGGAAGACATCCAGTGCAGGGACTAGCTAGCTGGAAGCCCTCTGCCACGTTCCCAGCAGCTCAGCAGCGATCCCCAAAGGAAACTTACCTCCAGGCTTGCTTGAGTAACTCGACAAGGGGTCAGTGCCCACTTCTTGTTCTTCTGGTTGCAGAGGGTGTCTAGTTTCAGACAAGGAATGATACATTGTGAGAATTGGACAATGTCACCAAAAGTGCCCACCTGCAAGATGAAAAATACGGAGAAAAATGATACTCTTTTTTCTGCCTTGACTAGGAATAAATGCAAAATTGAAATGATTAAATGAGCATTACAAACATTAGCAAGCTTTTGACAGGATCCAGAGACTTTAAATACACACATATGTGAAGAAGTGAAAAAATACTACGAAATTTTCTTTTTCAAAATTTCTTCCCAAATCTGAACTTCACTAGTAATCTTTACCTCAACCTTCAATTACATATGTCTGCAGTACACGTCTGCACAAAAAGCTGAATTGTAACTTAAACCATTGTCACATTTATAATATCCTTCATTTTGCTGCCAAAATAATACACATTTACAATGGGAACTTTCAAAATATAGAAAATATAGCTAACTAAAATTATTTGCAATTGTATTACATGAAAACACCACTGTTAACATTTCAGTTTATTATATATATTCTTTCTTTGTTCTGAGCATTTAAAACACATACTGTTTTAACCATGTCAAGTATACTGATTATATAATTTATCGTATCTTTCTTCCCATTAAAAAGTCTACATTATCACTTCTAGTGGATCCCTAGTATTCTACTATATATCTGTAACAATTCATGTAAACAATTCTTTATTAGTAAACAATCAGGATGGTTTCAATTGCCCCACACTATAAACAGCCTCACAATGAATGTCTTCCACTAATATCTCTGTGCTGTATCCATGACTGCTCCCCTTCAGGACAAATTCTTATAAGCATAATTACTGAACCAAAGCATGTATTTTTTTTTAAATGTAAGATTTTGTGATAAGTTTTGACAAATTATGCTCTAGACAGATTTGTATATAATAGAACAATTCATTTCCCCTGGCCACTCATCAACAGTGGAAATAAATAATCTCTTGGGGTTTTTTTTTTGGATCAATATGATAATCAAGTTTTATACTGCATTTGCTTGATAACTAGTAAGATAACTGAAGACTTCATATGTTTTCTCTGACATTTGTTATTGTTATTGTAGATAGAGTTTATTATCATGATTGCCCTCATGATCTGTAAGCATCCTTTAAATATTAAGGATATTAAACCTTTGTCATATGCTACATGTATTTTTCTCAGCGTATCTCTGTCTTTCAAATTATACATAATTTCCTAGACATAGTAACACCTTTATGAAGCCAAAAATATGTGTATCTTCTTTATGGATTCTGCCCTGGTATTACACTTACAAAGGCAAGATTATGTTAATAATCACCTATGTCTTCTTTTGTCAATTTGAAAGTTTTCCTTCTCAAATCTCATTCCTATAAATAGTTCTAATTAGGAACTAAATTGTTTTTGAACTTGTAAGCTACATTACTTATTTTTTTAAGTCTATAAAGTACAAATGACCTTCGCAAATCAACATCTTTCAAAAAACAGACTGAATTCACTAACTTTCATCTGAAGTAATGTAAGTAACAAAAGATTTTAAATTTCCAGAGCAGGGGGGACAGGAAGAGGAAATGTGGAATGTTAAACTGGAAAAGACGGTCCAGCCAAAATGAGTATGTGATCTTACAGGATAAAGTCTCCACCTCTGGAGGAAAATTCCAGAAAAGCCCATGAACATACAAATCTTTGACCAATCTTTTCCCATCACAAAAAACTCCTTTATTCTATTTACTTAATTTCAAAAATGCTCATTTCATAAAATGACTCGAATATTTTCTCATTTCTGTCAGAACGCTTCAATTCTCACTTACCCTCACTCTTGATCAGATATCAACAAACCATATCCCTACCATTTTATGGTTAAACAAAAGTAGAGGTTTAGGCAAAATCAATGGTTGGGAAAGTAGAACTTTTGTTGCCAACACAGTGAGAACTTCTAAAGCCATAAATCCTGAAGCTATAAATCTAAACAGTTGTCAGCTCTTGCTTCTTATGTATACAAATCAATTATATATGGAGTACTAACTACAGATAATCCATTGGATTATCGAAAAATCAAGAGAGTTCCAAAAAAATCATCTGACTACACCAAAACCGTTGACTAAGTGGATCACCACACACTGTGGAAAATTCTTCAAGAGATGGGAATACCAGACCACCTGACCTGNCAAGGAGATCCAACCAGTCCATCCTAAAGGAGATCAGTCCTGAATATTCATTGGAAGGACTGATGCTGAAGCTGAAACTCCAATACTTTGGCCACCTGATGTGAAAAACTGACTCACTGGAAAAGACCCTGTTGCTGGGAAAGATTGACGAGAGGAGAAGGGACAACAGAGGATGAGATGGTTGGATGGCATCACCGACTCAATGGACATGACTTTGAGTAAACTCCAGGAGTTGGTGATGGACAGGGAGGCCTGGTGTGCTGCAGTCCATGGGGTTGCAAAGAGTCAGACACGACTGAGGGACTGAACTGAATTTACACAGAAGGAACTCTGGGAAAGATACTCTAGTAGAAGATGGCAAAATGTAAATAAGCAATTGTATTATAAAACAGAATCTGATACAGTCTGTTCCTCAAATGAATGGATTGAAAAATTAAAGTCCTCTACTATGGAGAAGTCTCATCAAACTCAAACACCTAATGGGGTCAGGTACAAATTATTATTAATTCCAGTTAACATCCATTAAGCAATGCATATATGGCAAAAAGTAAACACTTCATGTATACTCATCATTCTATCCACTGAACAACTCAGTGATCACACATCTTCATCATTATTTTCATTTCACCAGAGAAAACTGGGGTACACAGAGATTAAGCAACTTGTTTACAGCCGCATAGCTGGCAAGTGTTGAGGTCAGACACTGAGCCCTCCCTCTCTGGCCCTAGGGCTCACGCTCTGCTTCAATACAACCCTTGGCTCTAAGGCAGTGCGACGGGCTGGCAAGACATGAAACAAGGGGGTGTAAGACTGAGAGTCTGTGAACTGTTGCAACATCCTTTTCTCTCCTTCAACGTCTTCAAGAAAAGTTAAAAATCCAGAATTTGACGTGAAATCTCTTTAACTTGTGTTGGTAGATAATTTTTTAAAAAACTGTGTGGAACTGATTGAACACCTCTCAAACCTGTATTTGGCCATGGATATCTTACAACATAAAATTCATATTCTCCATACATTCTGTCATACTCTTAAAACATGTAAGGGTAAACATTTGAAAATGAATATTGCAAGTTAATTGCCAGACTTCCTTGAAATTTCCTTAGCATCCTATACTGTTTTCATATCATTACCTTAATTTCTCATTTTTATAACATATGCACTTTTCTACTGTTAGACTTCATATACCTACAATATACAAATAAGGGGATTTTATGTATTTTAACCCTATGAGAACTAGACCATCAACCAGTAAACTGATATCAAAGTATATTTCAAAAAGGCACATTAAAAATAAGATACTCTACAACATAATGATGTCCAAATATTAGTTCAAGATGCTCAAGATATTTAAGGCCTTTTAAGGCAATGGTAGCCCACTCCAGTACTCTTGCCTGGAAAATCCCAAGGACGGAGGAGCCTGGCCGGCTGCAGTCCATGGGGTCGCTAAGAGTCGGACACGACTGGGCAACTTCACTTTCACTTTCATACATTGGCGAAGGAAATGACAACCCACTCCAGTGTTCTTGCCTGGAGAATCCCAGAGACGGGGAAGCCTGGTGGTCTGCCATCTATGGGGTCGCACAGAGTCAGACACGACTGAAGCGACTTAGCAGCAGCAAGCAGCAAACTCTATAGAGGGGGACTCTCTACTCCCCTCTCAATGCCTATGCTGAGAGCTTTGTACTTTATTTCTCTTTAATAAATCAAGCTTGAATACGCCTATCCCTTCTTCAGGGGATACACTAGAAAATACCAATTTAACACAATCTAAGGTATTAAGTGCGCCGGTTGCGACGGACCGCGCAGAAACTCGGCCGAGAGGAGCTACCCCTCGTTGGAGGTCAGGGGCGGCGATCAAGAGCGCCAGGCTGCGATGGCCCAGGAGCAGCCTAGACGAGCTACCCCGCGCCCGAGGTCAGGGGCGGCAGCCGAAAGGAGCTACCCCACGTCTGAGGTTAGGGGCGGAGGCCCAGAGGAGCAACCCCCTCTGCGCCCCGCCCCGTCCAAGGAGCAGCAGCTGCGCGGTTGCAGGAGGGCCGAGAGGAGCTGCTCCACGTTCAAGGTCAGGAGGGGCGGCTGTGAGAAGATACCCCTCGTCCAAGGTAAGGAGCTGCGGCTGCGCTTTGCTGGAGCAGCCGTGAAGAGACACCCCACGTCCAAGGTAAGAGAAACCCAAGTAAGATGGTAGGTGTTGAGAGAGGGCATCAGAGGGCAGGCACACTGAAGCCATAATCACAGAAACCAGCCAATCTGATCACAGGACCACAGCCTTGTCTAACTCAGTGAAACTCAGCCATGCCGCGTGGGGCCACCCAAGACGGTCGGGTCATGGNTTGATGAAAGTGAAAGAGGAGAGTGAAAAAGTTGGCTTAAAGCTCAACATTCAGAAAACTAAGATCATGGCATCTGGTCCCATCACTTCATGGCAAATAGATGGGGAAACAATGGAAACAGTGGGTGACTTTATTTTCTTTGGGCTCAAAAATCACTGCAGATGGTGATTGCAGCCATGAAATAAAGAGACACTTACTCCTTGGAAGGAAAGTTATGACCAACCTAGATAGCATATGAAAAAGCAAGGAGATCCAAGCAGTCCATCCTAAAGGAGATCAGTCCTGAGTGTTTGTCTGATGCTGAAGCTGAAACTCCAATACTTTGGCCACCTCATGTGAGGAGCTGACTCACTAGAAAAGACCTTGATGCTTGGAGGGATTGGGAACAGGAGGAGAAGGGAACGACAGAGGATGAGATGGCTGGATCACATCACTGACTCGATGGACATGAGTTTGAGTAAACTCCGGGAGTTGGCAATGAATAGGGAGGCCTGGCATGCTGCAATTCATGGGGTCGCAGAGAGTTGGACACGACTGAGCAACTGAACTGAACTGAAACTCTATAGTAACGTTAATTATAAGTCAT